GTTTTTTAAGAAGTACATACCCAACGTTGAGTAAAAAAAAAACCTTAAAAAAGTGAATTTTGCATAATAGGTCCCCTTTAAAAGTCAGTAGTAAACACCCCAATAAATTCCTTCAACTCCCCCTTTTCACATGACAGTCATGTGCTGAACAGCTACAGAAGAAATAAGTACATGTCAAAAGCAAGTATTTCATTAACACCAATGAATAAGTGCCTTCATTTTAGAAATAGAAAAGCAGTTGCAAKAGAACTTTAAATGTGACTAAAGGCCAGATAGAAGACAAATATAAGACAGATGAATTTATTCTACTGAGCAGAAATTAGGCATTAATATGAATAACAACAAAATAATAATAAGCAAAACATTAGAATATTTACCTGTAATGATTTGCTGAATATTAATCATGAAAATGTCACAAAAAGACACACTCACTGTTTCTACCCAACCCACACACACACACATTCTCATTTCCTCTCCAAGCGAACACACTGACACACTAATCTTGGATTATCACACAGGGCTTTTCAAGGGCAWCGCTTTATTTGCCCTGATGCGCTGCGGTTCAGGAAAGGCTGAAGGATGCAGCTCCTCTGTGTAAAATGTCACAAAGGTCACACAAACACACAGGTGGTGGTGGACAGGAGGAGGCTGGACTGTTTCTGTCTTTCTTCTATAATTAGTTGTCCTTCAGCTGGCWCATGTATAGAAATCTGCGGCAAACAAAAAAAAATGCACATCTCTGCGCAACTGCAACATACCTGCTAAATGTTTTTTTTGAGTGAAAATGTGCATGGGTACTGTAACTCCTGCAGCTGGCTTTGTTGTACAGTACTGTTGTACAGAACTGTTGTACAGAACTGTTGTACAATACTGTTGTACAGTATGCATATGTATATGATAAATTCTACGTTTAGAACAAACACACAATGTAAATGCAATGTAGTTAAACAAATCAGTTACTGAGAGTTGAGGAACACAYTTCCCTACTTATTGTGTCATTATTTGCTTGCAAAAATAAAAATAAAAGCACGTTCTAAATTTTGCACTTCAAGTGTTTGTGGTAACTGCTTTGAACAAGTGGACTAAAAACAGAACGTGAGGGAGAAAAGAAAACAAAGATTTTATTATTAAATCTACACAAAGACTATCAAAGATACATGAGAACCTTTGATCTTCAGTTATAACTTGCTGCAATATTTCTTTTTTTTATCCAATTAGTTTTCTGTATATGAACACACAAACGCTGCTTTCTGATGATTTTCTCATGTGTCTTTGATCATAAGGATACTAAAACTGGCAAATCCACCAAGAACAAGAGATCAAGCATTAATAGATTATATTCCTGTCAAGTTTTTACTCAAGAAATTTCAAAGACTTTCCAAGAATTAAGCTTTTTGAAAAATTAGGTATACTACAGTAATAAGTACAGCTGCTCCTCCAAGCCTCTTCGCTATCTGTAAAACACTTGTCAGTGTGCATTTATTGTGATTCTTTTCCCATCCAAGTTATCTCCACTTTGGCATGTTTCTCCTCCTGCATACTTTGTCCTAGAGCTGCCATTCTAATTTATATCTGTAAAGCTCCTGTGCCACATGATGGCTATGCCTTTTGGTGCCTGTACAGCTAATAGTTTTTGAAATATTAATGTTTAATAATTTATAATGGGAGTCAATAGAGCCTTGTATTGGTCCAATACTGCCCCCTGCTGTATCTACTCAGTACTGAACCATAGTTGAATAATATTTGATCTCAATAGTTCAGTGGTTACAATACTAATATGATTGTATTTTGATGTTTTACTATAATGTTGTCTTACTACTGCTCTATTGTTGTAATATTATGCAGTTTTGTGTCAATAATTGTATTGGCAATGTGGCCTCTTTCTGCACAGATACAAACCAACCCCTGGCACCACCCTTGGCCARAGCTCCAATGGTCTGATGCTCAATGCCATGGACTTTCATGTGGGACAACAGGGTTCAAAACCCAGCTAAAGCAACTTTAACAGAAAATCTCTACAAACTTCATATTGTCACACAATTACCCTTATTACAAACACCGGCTGACTTGAAAAGCACAAACTGGTGTAGAAAATACATTTGTACTTGGTCACAGTTCATTCTGCAAGTCCATTGCTGCAGGCAAAGCCATGCTGCAATGATATGCTACAAGGCAATGCACACTTGTTTTTACATCGTAAAAACCCATGTCTAGTTTACTTTGGCTTTTGACACTTTGTGTTTTTAACCTGATTTAATTTTTCATATATTTTTTTTATTTTATTGTTTAGATAGATTGTAGGCATTTTACTCTTTTTATTTCCTTGTTTGATCCTACCTGTGTTTTTTGACGGGTTTTTGTATCTTTACAGCGTCGCTGTCTTTACAGAAGTAAATATAGATGCTACACACGTCTTACTTCTGCAGTCGTCGTTCCATCTGAGCCGACTACACTATCTGGCACGCTTGTTTTGTTCAGTGTTTACATTTCATTTTGCTTCCCTCTCTGTCGCAGAACTGCCCTTCTGGAGCTTCTGAGGCTCAAAACAAACTCACCTCACGGAAGCGCAATGCTAACACTCCACCTGAAATATGCATCCACTGTGGTATCAGAGCGACCCACTTCATTATAAATATTCTCACTTCATGAATTCACTTGGTGCATTAGCATTGGAGATACAGCCWCAGTCATCAGCTGCTGAATTAGCCTAAAAACACAAAGAATAGTCTGGGACTACGATAGATACTTGACTGACTTCTTGATTGATTTATTCAGATAAGTCTCATGTGGCAAAATTCATTCATGCACTGATCAAAACCAGGCAACTGAACCAAGAAGAGGGGGGAGCAATAAGTTTTCAATTATTATTATTATTATTACTTTTTTCTGAGAAACCTCTCCAAATAGATGTGTAAATAGTTTAAAAGCAGCGTAGTTGTGCGTATTTGTTAGTAGTGAGGTGATTCATACCAATGATAACATGAGCCCCCAGTCTGGCCAAGTGGCGGACTACCTCATAGCCGATTCCCCTGCCGCCTCCTGTCACTATGGCAACCCTGCCATCTTGTCTGGGCATCACTGGTGAGTCAGAAGAGGACACAAATATGAAAACTGTATTTTAGACCACATTTATTTATGGTTTGTTTGCTCTGTAAACAGCTCGTAAAAATTGCTTATGAATGTCGCCAAAAATAAAATCTTACATTTCACCATTTAATCCTGATATTGTATAACTTCACAGTACTACTTACTTATATTCTGTAATTTCCCCTTGGGATCAATAAAGTATCATTCATTCATTCATTACAAAAGTATAAGTACACATACAGCATGCAAATGAAAAAGTAGGGTAGCAAAATTTGCTTATGTATAATAAGATCCACAAGTGTAATATTCACAAATGCATGAACAGATTTTTTTTCAAACTGCACAAGTAAAAATATATATGTCACACATACAAATTGACAAAATTACATGAATTGCCTGCTACAGACAAATCAGTCAACATAAGCGCACTGATCAGTTTGCATTACTCGTGACTTTTGAGTCTTCCTTTACTCTCTAATGTAATGCTGTGTTCAAGGTTGATTAAAAAAAACTCTGAAAACATGCCATCTTGTGGATTTGGTGGACTCAGACGAGTGCTTTGTTTACCTTAAGTGCGTACCTGCATTTCAGTATTGCATGTTGAGTTTTCTGGAAAACAACTGGAATGAACTCTTCCTAACTGCATCGTGATACAGTATCCAGGATAGCCTTTTTATGGTTAATTTCATACGTTGCAAAATACCTTTAACTTCAATTCAGCAACTAAAAAGTTGTTTCCAGGTTAGCCCAAACTGCTTAATAAAAAGTGGAGATTTAAATTCGTATTTCTCGTGTGCAAAAACGAACAATTAAAAGAACATATATTGAGGTCCACTACAACCTTTACATTATCCTGGTACATTCGGCAAGCAAAACGCGTCAGAAAAAGCTTTCGTTTAGCTCTTGTTTCTACTTTTTTTTTTTTTTTGACTGACGATTAGCAATAGCTTATTTACGAGCAACATGAACGGCATTGTGTTAGAAACGGATGAACTGACCTGGCAGTGTCACTGGTTTGTTTACCAGCTGAGCCAACAGGACCTTAAAGCCAAGCAGGTAAAGCTTGACAGCAGATAAAAAACGAAAGCAAAAAGCAGACCACATGCTTGTCGGAACGACTAGCAGAAGCTGTCAGCTCAGCTGAGAAGGCAGAGCAAGAGTAACCTAAAAGGAACACGTCCGGCTGTGGGACGCATTCCAACATGAAAGAATGCAATCCTGATCTTAGAGGGACACTAACCTGCATGTTTTACTTGTTTCTCTGCTCCACCACACCTAATTAAATTATGCCTTCAAGTTCTGCAGAAGCCTGGCAATCACCCATTCACTTAAATCAGAACTGTAAAAAAGATTTTCATTTATTTCCTTAAATAAAGGAAATGAACTGGTTCACATCCTCACCTTATTTACCTATGGAATTAAAAAATTATACTATACACACACACACACACACACACACACACACACACACA